TGTGAATATTGCCCATCCGACCTGAGAATATAGTTGGTGGATGAGAAGCCAGAGGACCGGCAGAGTGCTGGGCATCTGGACAACGAGTTTGTGGACACCGGTCAGGGGTTGGAACGGAGGAGTCCCAAAAGAATAAAAATGATGCTGAAAATCTTTATGAACCAGCACCCGCAGGATTGAGACAAGAATTTACCTCACCTGCTGTTTGCATACAGGGAAGTGCTCAAGGAGTCCACCGGGTTTTCACTTTTTGAACTGTTATACAGAAGAAGGATAAGGGGACCACTGGACCTGATGAGAGACGAATGGGAGGGGAAGGCCACTCCCGATAGAGAATCAGTGGTAGAGTATGTCTTGACCTTCCGAGAGAGACTTGCTGGGCTTGGCCAAGGAGAATCTGGCCAGAGCCCAGAGGAAGCAGAAGGTCTGGTATGACTGCACGGAAGGGGCTCAGGCCTACACCACCGGGGACCAGGTGATGGTTCTCATCCCTGTGAGAAAAAACAAATTACAGGCTGCGTGGGAAGGTCCTTTCAAGGTTGTCAAGCAACTAAATGAGGTAAACTATGTGGTGGAGCTGTCGAACCGGGCACACCGCCGGGTGTACCATGTGAATATGATGAAGTCATATTATGACAGGGGGAATGTGGTGTTGGCTGTGTGTTGACATTGGGAGGAGCAGGGAGATGACCCTTTAGTAGATCTATTCCCTGAGACAGGAGCAGGCTCCTCCCTGGAATCAATTCCCCTCTCTGATTGGCTAAGCCTTGCCCAGCAAGCTGAAATCAGAGGGGTGCTGTGTTTGACCGATTGCTGTTTTCCAACCCGCCTGGACTCACTAATCTGACTGTCCACCGGGTGGAGACAGGATCGCATCCTCCTATCAGCTGCTCCCTCTTCTGGGTCACAGAGAAAACTGCTCAGGACCTGGAAAGAGATGTCAGGGACATGCTGGCTTTGGGGGTGATCCAGCCATCTTCCAGTCCTTGGGCCTCTCCTGTGGTGCTGGTCCCCCAAAAGGACGGGTTGATTGGTCCTGTGTGGACTATTGGAAGCTTAATGCCATCATCCTATCTGATACCTACCCCATGCCCAGGCCTGACGAGCTCCTAGACAAGCTGGGAGGCGCTCGGCACCTTACCACGATGGATCTTACAAAGAGCTACTAGCAAGTGCCACTGGATGCAGATGCCAGGCTGAAATCTGCATTTATCACCCCTCTGGGGCTTTCTGAGTTCCTGGCCTTGCCTTTCAGCCTGAAGGGGGCACCTGCTACTTTCCAGCGCCTGGCGGATCAGCTACTGAGGGGGATGGAGAGTTTTGCCGTGGCGTACATTGATGACATCTGTGCCTTTAGCCAGACCTGGACCATGTGTCCCAGGTTAAACAAGTGCTCGACCAACTCTAGGAGGCTGGGCTGACTATAAAAGCTGAGAAGTGCAAGGAGGGGATGGCTGAAGTCTCCTACCTGGGCCACCGGGTGGGGAGCGGCTGCCTAAAGACAGAACCAGCCAAGGTGGAGGTGATCAGAGACTGTCCCGCTCCCCAGACCAAAAAGCAGGTCCAGGCCTTTACTGGGATGGCGGGGTATTATCGAAGATTTGTGCCCCACTTTAGCTCCATAGACGCCCCCATCACTGGGCTATGCAAGAGGGGAAGCCAGACAAGGTGGTCTGGACCGAGCAGTGCTCTGAAGGAGGCTCTGGTCAGGGGCCCATTGCTGGTTAACCCAGACTGTGACAAGCCCTTTATGGTGTTCACTGATGCCTCAGGCATGGGGCTGGTGGCGGTGTTAATGAAGGTTGATGAAAAGGGGGAGAGACACCTCATCATGTACCTGAGCAAGAAGTTACGTTGGGAGCAAAACTACGCAGCGATTGAGAAGGAATGCCTGGCCATGGTATGGGCCCTTAAGAAACTGGAGCCATATCTCTTTGGGCGACACTTCACTGTGTACACTGACCATTCCCCCGACCTGGCTACACCAGATGAAAGGAGCCAATGCCAAGTTCCTGAGGTGGGCCCTGCTCCTGTGGGATTATGACATGGAGGTGGTCCATGTGAAGGGGAGTGCCAGTGTGATAGCTGATGCACTGTCCCGGAGAGAGGGGCCTGAACTACCCCAGGTCACTGGTTCGAGTGACCCCACTCAGTTCAGTCTCGAAGGGGGGAGAGATGTGATGGAGTAGGGAGTATTAACCTGGTAATGGTGCATGGGAGTTTTACTAGTTTACTGTCTTCTGCTAACACGGGACGTGCCTCCATTTCTCTGGGGTACTGCACCAATACTAGATGGTGGTGGGAAATAAGGGTGTGACTTCACTGAGGGATGATATTTGACAGCCAGGATGTAAAGGATGACGGCTGCCCTTCGTAACCTGAGCCCAGGAGGGGATTGGGGCCAGGTGACACCTTCTGCCCAGGAAACTGGAGAAAGGCTGGAGGAGGGGCCGGGGTGTGGGTGGGTGAGGCAGCAGGAAGGGGCTTCAGTTTGGAGTGGGCTGGGGAGATGTGGGTAGGCCCAGAACCTGGGTCTGGGCTCCCCAGCCCCCAAGAGGGATCTGACTGAGGGGTCCTGTTTTCTGTACATACAAGCTCTGTTTTAGATTGTGTTCCTGTCGTCTAATAAACCCTCTGTTTTACTGGCTGGCTGAGAATCACGGTGAATTGCAGGAAGTGTGGGTGCAGGGCCCAACACTTTGTGCCAATCCCAACAGCACGGGGGAATTCACCTGCGGGTATGAGGAGAACATGAGCGGGAGATGGATCCTGTCCACCAGGAGCCAGGCTCTGACTGTCACTGGGAATGTCACAGTGACAGGTGAACTCATAGTCTCCAGCCCTGTCCCACATAATCCAGGTTCTCTATATCTGGCTTCCTGGATAGTGACATGTCTGGATCCCAGTACTCCTCATGGGGAAGAGTCAGAGAGTTCATGGCCAAAAGGGTCCCCGGGATTGTGTAATCTGATCTGCTGTATAACACAGGCCACCACCTTTGTTGGATAGACAGAGAGGGAAGGAGCCTGACTGGGGGCTGGAGAGGTGCCAGTTGAACTCTACCAAGTCAAGCAGTGGGAGTCATCTCCAGCTGGCCTTATCTTGGAGAGATCCCAACGGGCCTGAAATTTCAGGAGCGATTCCCCTCAGTCCACAGCCCAGGGCATCGCTTTCCCATTGGCCATAGACCTTGCAATGGGAGGCTCCTTCTTCGTCATCAACCCCCTCATCTTCCTCGTCACCCACCGCTGCCTTTAGAGTGAAGGTAGGTGTCCCATTCAAGGCCAGGCAGCCTCTTGGTGCCATGTCATTGATTTTCAAGTGCCTGGTGCTTTATGGAGAGAGCCAAGAGGTAAGAAAGGAGGGGACGTATCAGCTGGAAGAGGAGGATAAAGACCTGGGTGCATTGGTTGATCACAGGATGACTATGAGCCACCAATGTGAAGTGGCCATGAAAAAGGCTAATGCAGTTCTAGGATGCATCAGGGGAGGAATTTCCAGTAGAGACAGGGAGGTGTTAGCACCATTATACCAGGCACTGGTGAGACCTCATCTATAATACTGTGTGGCTCATGTTTAAGAAAGAAGAATTAAAACTGGAACAGGTGTGGAGAAGGGCTATTAGGATAATCTGAGGAATGGAAAACCTGCCTTATGGGAGGAGACTCAAAGAGCTTGGCTTGTTTAGTGTAACCAAAAGAAGGCTGAGGGGAGATAGGGTTGCTCTCTATAAATACATCAGAGGGATAAATACCAGGGCAGGAGAGGAGTTATTTAAGGTAAGTGCCAATGTGGACACAAGAACAAATGGATCTAAACTGGCCATCAACAAGTTTAGACTTAAAATTAGGTGAAGGTTTCTAACCATCAGAGGAGTCAAGTTCTGGAACAGCCTCGCAAGGGGAGCAGTGGGGGCAAAAAACCTAACTGGCTTCAAGACTGAGCTTGATAAGTTTATGGAGGGGACGGTATGATGAGACTGCCTACAATGGCATGTAGGCGATCTGTGACTGCCAGCAGCAAATATCTCCAATGGCTGGTGATGGGACACTAGATGGGGAGGGCTCTGAATTACTACAGACAATTGTTTTCCAGGTTTCTGGCTCCTGGGTGTTGCTCACATGCTCAAGGCCTAACTGGTCACCGTATTTGGGGTTGGGAAGGAATTTCCACCCGGGTCTGACTGGCAGAGACCTGGGGATTATTTACCTTCCTCTGCAGCCTGGGGCATGGGTCACTTGCAGGTTTTATCTAGTGTAAATGGGGGATTCTCTGTAAAGTGAAGTGTTTAAGCCATGATTTGAGGATGTCGGTAACTCAGCCAGAGGTGAGGGGTCTATTACAGGAGTGGGTGGGTGAGGTTCTGTGGCCTGCGATGTGCAGGAGGTCAGACTAGATGTTCATGATGGTCCCTTCTGACCTTAAAGTCTATGAATCTCTGAGCAGTGGGTATTGCAGCCGGGGCTGTGCCCGGCGGGGTGGGGGCTGGAGGCAGAAGGTCTTGGCCCACTGTGGAAGCAGGGTGCAGAGCAGAGGTTGGAGGGGAGGGATCTGGGATCGCAGCAGAGCAATGGGTGTGGCACATCCCAAAGGGAGATTGTGTGGGGGACATTTCAGATGTCACAGCATCAGACTCACAACTGGGTCGACGCCTTTTCATTGCTGTCATGTCTCTGTTACAGGTACCCCAGGGAGCCCGGAGCCCAGAAAAAAAGTCTTGTTTTTCCCCAGGATCTCCCCTTTGGCTCTTTGCATCTGTCTCTCCAAAGGTGGCGTCCCTGCCAGAGTCCCCACAGCAGCTGCCTGGCCTGGTTGAACCTCCCATTGAGTCCCCCTTGGTGTGATCACCAATCGCCCATGGGCAGCTCCCTCCAGCTCCCCTAGGTGGGAAGGATGTTCTTCATGATCCGATTCTCCCTGGGGGTTGGTGTTTCCTTTCTCCTCCCAGCAACAGAACTGCGCAGTTTGTGACAGAAACAGTCACGCCTTTCTAATTGAAATTGAGTTTATTCTCTGTCCTTGGAGAATGAATGTTAATGGAACAGCAAATGCAACAAAAGCAAGAGACAGTGATAAAGGTTAAGAATGGTAGGAACTCTGTGTGTGCATGTGTGTGTTTGTGTGCGTGTGTGTATGTTCCTCTCACCCCCTTCTAGAGGGGATGGGACCTTCTCCGTGTGCATGTGTGTGTGTCAATTCTTCCCCCTGCTGGAGGAGATGGGACCTTCTGTGTGTGTGTGTGTGTGTGTCCCTGCTGCCCCCTGCTGGAGGAGATGGGACCCTGTCCGTGTGTGTATGAGGGCAGTTGGATGATCGGCCACAGGGAGAGGCGGCCAGGCTGGGGTGTCTGAGCCCTGAATGTTAAAGGGCCCCTGATTTGGATTTCCATGTTCCCTCCGTGCCTCTCACCGAGTGGCTCCCTGGATGTGCCGGGGCAGCCCCTCGCAGTGCAGTACCCCCTCTGTTCCCAATGCTCTAGTCGCCATCCCCGGTGCTCAGGGCGTTGCAGAGGAGGGGAAGGTCAGGAGTGTGTACACATCAGAGCCCTGGGGAGGAAGAGACAGAGTGAATGGGGCAGCAGGGGAGCCATGGAGGGGAGAGGCACATTCACCGTTCCCTCCAAGGGGGCGCTAATGAGATATCAAACCAGCCCCTCAACCTGATCCTGATCATTAACCATCCCCTGGTGCTTCGCCCCCCACGAGTCACGCTGTGAACCCCGGTGTCCAGCCCTCACCCCTTCTCTTATCCCATTCTGCCCTGCTCTGTCGTGTACCGGATGCTGGATTCTCCTGCGCTGTGTGTCACCCCCTGCTTTGTGGCAGTTCCACAACTGCCGTCAGTTTCTAACATCCCCTTCCACTCCAATCTCTGCCAAAGGGGAGTTAATGAGACACAGAATGGCCTCCCCCACTCATTGATGTTCACTGGGAACTTCCCCCAAGCTGGGGATGGAACCCAGGTGTTCTGAGCACATCCCTAAATCAGCGGATCCATCCTGCCTCTGAGCCCCACCTGCAGTGTCTATTGGATACAGGGTTCTCCTTCACTTCCTGTCCCAAAGTGCTGCTCAGTGTGACTATGGTGAGGGTGGGACAGAAGGGAGCTGATGGAGCTGTGGAATTTTGCACAGTTATCCCCCATGGTTACAGCCCCAGCAGGAATGGCAGGTTGATGGAGCTAATGTGCATTTCAGCTACTCTCATTTCCCCCCCCAAGCGATTTTCTCTGCAAGGAATTTGCAGGCTCAAGGAGGCTCTGGATTGTGGACGTGTTTGAAATTCTGTTGTTAAGAGATCCCTGTTACCTCTTCTGGTAGGTCCACTCTGACACTGCTGGATTTCAATTCCTCATGGCACCTCCTGGAGTCCAGTTCCCCATCGCCTTCCCCGGGCTCAGATCCCCTCAGATATTGCGAAGGCTCCGGAACTAAACCGCAGATAGACAGAGCGTGGTGAGAGAACTGCCTGACCGGGGGCCTGGGGTTCAGATTTCATTGGTTCACTTTTGTTGAACAGACTAAACATAGACCCCCGAAGTTAGGAGACTCTTGAGGTTTTTGAAATCTTTTCCCTCATTCCCTAAACTTGACCCGAACCCAGGACCTTCATATTAACTCTAGTACTGAAATTTAGTCCCGTCAGCTTTTCTTAACATTCATCTTAGCAGTTGGCTCTAATTTCTAACCTTATTCTTAGCACTAAATGTAACAGCTGCTCCTTTCCATAGAGAATTTTATCATAACACTTACATTTCAAACTAACCTTAATCCTACAATGAAACATTATCTTTTATCATAATCTTTAAAGCTAACCTTAACCATATGCTGCCATCTATATGTGGCCCTATCATCCGAGTTTAACACTAACCCCTAACCTTTACCCTAACCATAAATTTGAGCTTAGAGGATAAGGTTATCTACTGGGGAACAAATATTTAATAGTTGGCTCTTCAGTCTAGCAAGGAAAGGACTAACCTGAGACAGGGGCGGGAAGTGGAAGCTAGACATTTTCAGACTGGAAATAAGGCAAACATTTGTCACGGTGAGAGGAACTAACCGTTGGAACAATTTGCCAAGGGGCATGGTGGAGTCTCCATCACTGACAATTTTTAAAACAAGACGGGATGTTTTTCTGAAAGCTCTGCTCTAGGAATTATTTGGGGGAAGTTCTCTGGCCTGTGTTACACAGGGGGTCAGATTAGATTATCAGTGTCTCTTCCAGTCTTGGAATCAATGAATCCATGAACCTAACCTTAAGATCTAAATCTAATTTTAACCCTATAATCCAATATTAACCTTTATCCTAATCATAAAACCTAATCTTAACCCTAACATTTAACCCTAGTCCTAATTCCAGATTTTAATCCTAACCCCTAGCCTTTATTATACCCATAGCCTTTATACTGTCCATAACCTTTATCCCAACCCTAACCCCAACCCCTAACAAGCCGAATACCTAGTCTTACCCTTAAAGCTGAACACTTGATCTGAACCCAGACCATATCCCCTAGCCCTGTAAATCATTGAAAACTATTTTTAGTCATAACAAATTACCAGAGACCCTCTTTAGAAAGAAAGCATACTCCAGGGGTTGGGGCATTGTCCTTTAACTTGGGAGACAAAGGTTCAATTCCTGACTCTGCCATAGACTTCCTGTGGGATCTTGGGTCAGTCATGGCCTCGCTCCATGCCTCAGTTTCCCAACTATCAAATGGGGGATAATAGGACCTATTTTTGACTACATAAAATTTTGCAGAACACCCTAAGAGACCCCCACTTCCACCTGAATGTGCAGGTTACAACCCATTGACTGGCAATGTATATTCATTGTTATTTACACTAATACACGCTCGGTAGGGTGTACAGGTTTTCATTGACCTGCCCCTCAAGTGGTTCTCCTTTCGAGGTACAGAACATCATTTGAAGTCAGTGTTTACATTGGTTCCCCACAGACTCACTACTGAAATCTTGGGTGCTGCTCATGGCATTACAATATTATGGTGAACAAGAGAAGGGTCCTTTTATTTTAGCAGGACTATGGGCATTTCTTATTACAGGTGCTTTGCCATTTCCACCTCGTGTTCACCCGCTGATGAGCCACCAGTCTTGTGCTGGAGGGAATCCTAGACATTTCAGCAGGTGCTTGCCCACTCCTTGTGAACTGGGAATATTACAGGGGCTTGGGTAGAGTCTTCTGCTCCCACGCCGATCCCATTCCCTATCCCAGTCTCTCCTTCGCTTGAGCCGGTGAGTGGTCTGGGAGCCCCACAGGGGGCAGCTAACTCAGCTCTGATAATGTCACTCAACACCACCCCATGTGGCCAGTTAAGGAACAACTCACCAGGGTGCAGAGAAGGAGACATGCAGATTTTGGCTTAATTTTGGAGTTCAAGGGGGAGTCAAATAACTAGAGCTCTGGGAGTGTCTGATGGCTATAATTCCCTGATGTACCTCTCTTGTTCCTCCTGCAGTAGCACACGAGGGCAGCCAGAGCCATGCCCGGAACCATGAGGATCCCACATGCCGGCAGCAAGTTTCTAGATTGGGCCCAGGCTGCTTGTGAGAGAAGAGAAAAGGTGACAAGGGACTGGTCAGGAACCAAGAGTAATACTCTATCTATCGGAGCTGGGCAGACACTCTCTGGATAGGGAAACTCACCTGTCGCTGTGATGTTCACGGTCACAGCATGGCTCCTGGGGGACGGGATCCACCTCCCCCTCACGTTCTCCTCGTACCCGCAGGTGAATTCCCCGGTGTTGTTGGGACCGGCCCGTGGGATGCTGAGCACAGAGACGTTCATAGAGCCGGTGCTGGGCTCTGTGGTGCTGATCTCAGACCCAGCGTCCCCAGGAACGAGCTCGTCTCCATCCTTGTAGAAGTGGAACCTCCGATCGCTGGCATCACTGGGGGCTATGCAGCTGATGAGCAGCGTGAGCCCTTCGCTCACCACTCCCGATGGGGGATCTACGCTCAGCACTGGCCGGGAAGGTGGATCTGAGAGGAGCCCAATGGGGAGCGGTCAGAAGGGGCTTTGATAGTTAAATTCCCATCTCACCCACCTTCTCTAAAGTCCGACCGGCCCATGGTGGTTTCCTCAACCTTGAGGCCATGCTGACTGAGGGCATCATGACCTGTCATAACTATAAAGGGAAGGGTAACAGCTGTCCTGTGTACAGTACTATAAAATCCCTCCTGGCCAGAGACTCCAAAATCCTTTTCCCTGTAAAGGGTTAAGAAGCTCAGGTAACCTGGCTGGCATCTGACCTAAAGGACCAATAAGGGGACAAGATACTTTCAAATCGTTGGGGGGGGGGAAGGCTTTTTTTTGTGTTTTTTGTATGTGTGGGTGTTCGCCCTCGGGACTGAGAGGGACCAGACATCAATCCAGGTTCGCCGCATCTTTCTAAACAAGTCTCTCCTATTTCAAACAAGGTGTGTTAGTTTTC